TTGATTACGATTCTGGAAACAAACAAGTTCAAAATTACGGATCAAAAATAGCCCAGTATTTAGGATAAATTTTACAAATTTAAATGAAAATGCCTGACATAACTATAATTTGCTGTAAATATTTTTTGTACATTCCACACAAAATTTTAATTTGTGGCACAAATTTGCGAACTATCTGCATAACATTTGTTTGAAAATATCTCAAGTGTTCATACAAATGTGGTCTCATGATGGATGGTACAAACAATGCTCCTTATACCCTACACAACTATGTTGTTAGGGTATTATAGCTTTGTACAGCCCCAAGAGTTTGTAACGCCGCGAAATTGTGGTCCTAGACCCAACTTTAAATGTACCGATCGTCATTTCGCGACTAGCTGAGTCGATCTAGACATGTGTGTCCGTCCGTCTGCCCATTATAATTTGTAAACATGATATAGGCCACAGTTATGGACCAATCTTCACGAAATTTTGCATGTAGGATAGGATATGTCCTATTGGTTTTGGTAATTATCGGTTAATATTTAGGGAATGAAATGGATCAACAACTTGATTTTTTTCTGATTTTCTGGTCGCTCCAGAGGCCGCAATTATGGTCCAAACTTAGAAAATTTTTTAAGTGGAGATGGGGATTGGGCCCAAGATCGGGTCAATATTTAGCGAAACCCAGACTTTTGTGACGTGGTTGACCTTTAAATTGATACCAGTAATACTGTTTGTATTCGGATGTGGATGTTACACTTAAATATTTATAGGTGCTTACGTATTTTTATTATTCAGTAACCCATTACCACACCAGAGGTTGGAAGTATAGGGTTGATCGTTTGAAATTGGCCATGATTCAAACATGGTCAAAGACAACGCCGACGTCACCGAAATTATGGTGAAGATCAGATAATAATATTAGAATGAAATGGACCGAAAACTTAATTTTTTGTGTTTTTTCGAATCGATCTATAGCCACAATTGAAAGCCGAACATCACCACACAAGCCACGATGAAGGGAACAAGTTTATTGACCTATGTGTAGTCGGTCATGAGGGTGCAAATATCGCGAAATTTTGCCCATGTTCAGAATATCAAACCACAGAAAGTTATGTTTTCGTCGAAGTTGTGTAGGGTATCAAGTGGTCGGCCCCATCCGACTTTTGTGGACGAAAATATATATGGGAGCAATATTTTAATCTGAACCGATTTTCAGGAAACTTAACACACATCATTCTATACCTAATTCATTACACTGGGCCAACTTTCGTGCAAATCGAAAGATATATATGGACTCTGGCGCACCATTTACATTAAATCGGACGAAAATATATATGGGAGCTATATCTAAATCTGAACCGATTTTTCCCAATTTCAATAGGGTTCGTCCTTGGGCCAAATAAGTGACCTATGCCAAATTTCATCCAAATCTGATCATAAATGCGACCTGTACTTTGTTCACAAAAATACATGGACGGACGGACATGCATAAATCGTATCAGAAAGTGATTCTATGCATATTCTCAAAAGGAACCATGTGTCTATTTCTTTTCTTTTTGCCTGTGTGCACAATCCACACCTTGCTGAGGGCCCTTAAAAAATTTTCTTTAAAAATATACGCCACTGTTGAGGGCTTCTCAAAAATATTCTTTAAGAATTCACGTTTTTTGAGGCCTTCTGAAAAATATTCTTTGAAAATTTACGCCTTGTAGAACACTTAAAAAATAATATTTTTAAAATCTACGTTTCTTTTAAGGGCTTCTCAAAAATATTATTTAAACCAGTGAGCGGAACAGTATAGTCGGACGGGGCCTACCCTACACAACTTCCACGAAAATATAACTTTCTGTGGTTCTATATTCTGAGCATGGGCAATATTTCGCGATAATTCTAATTACTTATTATCTGATTATCATCGAAAATTATAGGCGTTGTCCTTGACCATACCCGGATCCTCATGGATAATTTCGAAACGATCAGCGCTATATTTACGCCCTCTAGTGAGATAATGTTTTACTAAATAATATCTGAATACGTAAGCACCTGTAAATATTTACGTGTAACTCCCACATCCGAGTACATAAGCCAATAAAATTGGTATCAATTTAAAGCCACTTCTCTTGGATATACTATCAAATTCTTGGGTCTATGTCCTTCAGTATTAAATATACGCCATAGAATACAAATTTTGTAATTTTTCACACAAAAGTCAGGGTCCATTTGACCCGCTAAATATTGACCTATCTTTATCAAAACAGGCATGCATATTCTTTAGCCCGATCCCTTTCTCCGTGTAAAATTTCGCGACGTTCGGGCCATAATTGCGGCCTCTGGAGCGACCAGAAAAACGGACAAAAATTAAGTATTTGGTCCATTTCATCCCCTAAATATAATCCGATCTTTACCAAAAATTAACCAGAACCCATCCTACATGCAAAATTTCGTGAAGATTGGTCAATAACTGTGGCCTGTATCGTGTTTAAAAATTATAATGGACAGACAGACGGGTGGACGGACGGACGAAGGACACACATGTCTAGATTGACTCAGCTAGTCGAGATATGACGATCGGTATACTTAAAGGTGGGTCTAGGACCAATATTTCGCGGCGTTACAAACTTTTGGGGCTGCACAAAGCTATAATACCCTGACAACATAGTTGTGTAGGGTATAAAAATACACATCTGTTTAAAGGCTTCTGATAAAATCTTCTTTAAAAAATCTATCCTCGTTGAGGGCTTCTAAAAAATCCACGTCTTGTTTTAATTCTTTAGAAATCTACGCTTTATTTGGGCCTTCTAAAATAACATTCTTTAAAAATCTAAGCCTTGTTGAGGTTTTCGCATAGGTGCTCATTACGTTTATAAAAAAATGGCTGTATCTGCTATAAGAGTGTAAAATCTCAGGGCACAATTTTAAAAAAGTCCCCCTGCTGAAAATAAGGTTAACCTCCATATAACTGTAGCCCCACAAATATACAGTATTTTGTCGATTTTGGCCATGTTTTGGCTATGCTATCCTCCCAAATCTACACTTTCTATAAAATACTCCTTAAGAATCGTGTTCTTTCAGATTATCTTAACATTTCTGTAGAAAACACTTGACGGCTGCTGCCAAGAGCTGTTAGTCTATAGAATGGTCCAAGGTTCTTCTGATGTATCGTCTATTTATAAAAAAAAAAAGAAAACTTCCAAATTTATACTTTCTAGACCTCCTAAGTGAATTAATTTTTTCCAAAATGGGATTTTCTCTGTCACAATAATTATATGCATATATAGAAGTTTTGAAAGGGATCGTAATTTTTGAAGAGATCTTGCACTGTTCTTCATTTCTTTAAAGAAATTTTTATTCTGTAGAATACCACCTAAGATGATCTTATCCCTTCACAGAAGACCTCCAAGGGGTTTCTCTCTATAACAGATTTTCTAAGTGTGTCCAATCTATATAGCACCTCTTAAGAAGCTTATCTTCACCGCCTCAATCCAAATAAGGGATTTCTATATAAAAAAAGTTAACGAAGCAAAGCCCATCAATTTATGGAAGGCCTGTAGATGGGCTGATTTATATAGAAGACCTCTCAAATGTCTCAGCTCCTCAATTAAAAAACTCCTTGGCTCTTCAGTTCATCACTTTAAGAATTTTGAAGGTCCCAACCGCATTTTCCAATCTTAGTAATGTGGAATTTTCTTTTAATATTTTCAAATAGATCTATTTCTTTTTTCTACAATATAGATTTCATATTATTAATAATTCTTTATGAAAACAAGTATGCAAAGATCTCTCAACCCCCCTCTCCAACCCTAAGCTTAAATCTCAAACAATAACCCCAATTATGGCTACAGCAGCAGCGAATGCATGGAGTTTTACAAAAAAAAACACACACACATAGACGGAACATTAGAAACGACAAAGGGTCATATAAAATATTTTCTTTTTTTGGGTTTATGTGTGTAGATGATGCTATGTGTATGTGATGGTGTGCGCGCTCCTTTTTAAGGCAATCTTATGACGATTTTTTTTTTTGATATGAATAAAACATTAGAATAGTTGAACTCATTTTTTGTTCTTTCTTTTAGTGGCTGCCGCTGCAACAACTACAACCGTTTGTATTTACACGACATACACACACAGGGGGGATGGACATATATATACATACGCACATTATGCACATACTACTTATTTATACTTTTTTTTTTTGATTCATCCATTCATTCGCTCATATGTCAGATGCATCCATCCACTACCACTCCACTCTTGGTTCGTTCAGTCGTATCCTCATCCCTAATAATGAGGAAATTCTAACAAAGTTGACCCAAATCCTTGTACACTTGTACACTGGCGGGTGGGGAAGTTCTATTGTGTGTGACGACAGCTGTTCAAACGAATGGGTGAGGGTGATTAGGAGTGTGTGTGAGGGTATAGATGTGTGTGTGTGTGTGTGCGTTTTGGTAATGTACAAATGCGGTTGAGCTTGTACAGAGATTTTTGGATGCATTAACAACTAAAACGGAATCAAAACTAAATGCATACAAAGAGAGAGAGAGGGGGAGGCATATAGCATTACGGCGGAGAAGTGATACAAGGCCGGACGATGTTGTGTTGTGCAAAAAAAATACACACACAACAAAAAAGAATCATGCTAAAAAAATTTTTGACAAGGATGAGCTGTTGTCTACAATATGTGTTTTGACACACATCCAGCCACCCCCTACCCTCCCCCTACTTCTTATCACAACCATTATGTTGTCTTATGTGACATTTCTAATCTTTTAAGGATCTAGAAGAGATTTTGTTTTTTTTACGACTGTAGATATCAAACCTATTTCAAATATTTACCAGATTTTGGAATTTTTTATTGACATAGCTGGGATTCGAAATCCAAAATGTGGGCCAGTCAACATAATATGTGACTCCATTATTTCGGTTTTAATTAAAATACAGCCTCTCAACCTCAATAGGATTGCGATTGGGATTCGGATGATGGGGCTGTTGCCGCAGATGACAACTTGACTTACCTTTCTTCGTCCACAACAAAGCATTCTTCGCGCACGCGAATGTCCTGTAGCTGCTTTCAATCGAGTAAACTTCTTCTTCCACTGCATTTAGTGGTATTGGTAACGTGATGACAACGACGACGACACGACGGCGTATCTGTGGCACGTTTTGGTTCTACACAATGTTGTTGTTGTTGTTTTTGTTGAGTTGAGCTGCATTAATGATGATACATATATGTGTGTGGGTGTTGCTGTCGACTTGTGAATGTATGTGTGTGGCTGCAAATTTTACAAGTAGTAGTTGTTGTTGTTGCGGTAGTTGTCCATCGATTATGACCAACAACTGAAAATACATTCAAAAAACTTCTCTCGAGAACATGACATACTATGCCTCCATGTATGTATGCGTGGTGACGGCGACGACTGCGACAATGGATGGCGGCGAAGGGGGAGTTTGAAATTTACCGCGTAGCCACAACAACACACAGCTTCCTCCTCCTGCTTCTACATCAGTGAAGATAGTTGGAGATTCTTGTCATTTTTGCAGGCCTAGTTTCCATTGATGATTGTTTCAGTTGTTGTTCTTCTTGTTGTAAATTTATAGTAGTGACCAATGTTCAGCTGTGATGGTGTATGATCCCCGGATTCGTTGTTGACATCACGTTGCATTGAATGGTGATTGAATGCCGCTGCTACCCTGCGTAAATATCTGCAAAATTGACACACAGAAAAAACAACAACAAAAATAAATAAACCATATAGCTTAAGTAAATATAATATATATGTGACTACGAATTTATGTTCATATGTATGTGTGTGTATATATATTGAGAAAATATTTAAATAAATTAAGACTGCATGAAAAATGGTTGATTGGTTAGCGGTAACCGCAGGCCATTTGTCCCGGAAAATGTTCATTAAAACGCAACATTGATAAAAATTATCAGGATGCAAACAGACATAGGCGCATACATAACAACAATAAATAAATGACAAAAATTTCATGCCTATTTGGTCCATAGAAAAATGATACACTAAGAAATACCTTGATTTGGTTCATAGACAACTGATTCTATAAGTCGGGCTCCAGGAAGACTCTATAAGCTGGCTCAAGGGAAACTCTATTGGTTGGCTGAAGTCAGACAATTTTGGCTGGCTGAAGGCAGACTCAATAGACTGTCTCATGGTAGATTCTAAGGACTAGCTCAAGGTACACTCTATGGACTAGCTCAAAATCACCTCTATTTGATTAAAATGCATTTATATTCTACGTAGAAATCTACGTCTATCTGATTTATAGAAAAATAATTCTAATTGGATAAATGTGTTTCAAAAATACACTTAGGATTCGTTCATATTTCTTATTGGAAAGTGTTCTTTCTAAATCCAAGTCTATTCATAAAAAATAATCCTAATTGGAAAAATATTCTTCAAAAATCTAAACCATGAATCATGAAAAATTCTAACTTGAAAAATATTTTTTAAAAACCCACTCCTATTTAGTTCACATTTCTAATTGGAATAATATTCTTTAAAAATCCGCACATTGGTAGTTCATGGAAAAGTAATTCTAATTGAAAAAATATATTTTTATTGGAAAATATACTTAATGAAACTCGCACCTTTTTGATACACATTTGACGACAAAATATATTCTTATTGTAGAAAATATATTTATAAAATCCAGACCTGTTATTCTTATTGGAAAACATGCTTTAAGAAACTCACACATATTTGACACACATTTGACGACAAAATATATTCTTATTGTAGAAAATGTCCTTTATAAAATCCTCAACTATTTTTCTTTTGGAAAATATGCTTTATGAAACTCACACCTATTCTTATCCTTAAAAAAACTTGTATAAGATCCATGCCTCTTTCGTCCTTGTAAATTATATTCTTATTGGATAAATTATATTCTTATCATTAAAAAACCTTTATAAGGTTCACGCCTCTTTCGTCCTTGTAAAATTAATTCTTATAGAAACCAATATTCTTTATGGAAAAAATATAATTATTTAAAACATATTTGAAAAATCCACACATATTTAATTTTGAGAAATATTTTTCTTATTGGAAAATACATTTTTCAAAGCATCCATGTCTATTTGGTTTTGGGAAATATCATTCTTATTGGAAAATATATTTTTCAAAATATCCACGGCTATTTGATTTTAGGAAATATCATTCTTATTGGAAAACATATTTAAAACAACGTCTATTTGATCATTCTTATTGGAAAATATATTTCATAAAAAATCCTGGCCCATTTGGTTTTGGGAAATATCTTTTGGGAAGTATAATTCTTACTGGAAAAAATATTTTTTTTAAATCCAGGCCTATTTGGTTTTGCCTAATATCATTTGGGAAGTATAATTCTTACTGGAAAAAATATTTTTTTTAAATCCAGGCCTATTTGGTTTTGCCTAATATCATTTGGGAAGTATAATTCTTATTGGAAAAAAATAAAAAAAAACACGACGGTTTGATTTTAGGACATATCTTTTGGGAAACATAATTCTTATTGGAAAACTGTTTTTTTAAATCAACAATATTTGGATTTTGGAAACACACATTTTTTTAAAAATCCACCCCTTTTTGATTTTGGGAAATATTATTATTATTATCCAGCGAAATTCTCATACATTTTATGTCGGTGGTCAGCTAAGTACTTCGCTTTGTTACAAGAGACATTTGGGTATGAAAGGTTTTTTGTATAGAAGCAATAGCTTCTGGGAAGAATATCCCAACAAAAAACTAAGGGAACTGATGAGGATCAGTGGCGTTTGATTAATTGACGCCTATCTTATCGAAAAAAATATTTTTTTTATTCAAAGCCTATTTGATTTTGGGAAATATCATTCTTATTGACAAGAAAATATCCTTTAAAAGTTCAACGCCCACTTTATTTTGGAAAACATTATCCTTATTGGAGAAAATATTCTTTAATCTTATAATCTTAATGGAAAATATATTATTTAAACAATTCACGCCTAGTTGATTATTAAAAAAATATTTCTTTTTGGAAAAATATTTTTAAATCCACGTCTACTTTCTAATGCACATCGTTTTTATTCTTGGAAAAATTATTATAATTGGAAAACAAATTTGATCATGAAAAAGATTTTTCTTATTGGAAAAAATGTTCTTAAAAAATCCACACCTATTATGATACATTGAAAAATTATTCTTATTGGAAGAAAATTTATTCTTATTGGAAAATAATTATTAAAAAAACACGCCTATTATGGAGCTTGGAAAGTTTGTTTTTATGGGAAAACCAATTATTATTTAAAACTTGACGCCTTTTATGCTTGGAAAAACTATTATTATTAAAAAAATCACGCCAAATATGATTTGTATTGGAATGAAATTTCTTTAAAAATCCATTTATTACATCTTTAAACATTCACCTAAAACATTCTTTTGAACATCCATCCATATTCTTTTAGAATTTGATGCTTTGGAAAAATATTCTTATTGGAAGAATTATTCTTTTAAAAATCCACGACTTATATGTCTATTAAAATAATTATGCTTATTAGAAACATTATTCTTTAATAAATCTACGCCTATTTTGTGCTTTGGAAAAACTTATATTTTTAATTGAAAACATTATTGTTTACTTTATTATTATTGAGTAGGATCATTGCACAATGTACATCCTTTTTAATATTGTAAACAGCAACAATAACAAAAAATATATAATTTACTCTAACATAGTAATATTTATAAATGTTAACCCATATAAAAAAGAACCGTATTCCAAATGTTCAAAATAGTAAAATTTTATTGGTAATTTTTATGATTGCAGTCATTGCTGCTGCTGTTGCTCAAATAAAAACCAACAACCAAATAGATGACGATTATATATACAAATAGGACACACAATGTCCTTACATAGCTATCTTTATATCAATGCAAATGCATTGACTACGATTACAACCATGAACAACACAAAAAAAAAAACTACGCGAAAGTTCATTTCCTGAACATTGTCTGTCTAGTACCACGTCGTATTTTTTTTTTTACTACTGACTGACCATAAAATAGTCATTGGGAAAATTTAACCTCCTAATGTTTTACTAACTGGAATTACATCATTTGGGTCAGACAATAAATGGAATGGAATGAATGGATAGATGGCGATGAAAGAATGCATCATCATCTCGGTGGGCCATGTGGATGACGGCGATGATGATGATGGCAGACATGGTAGAGTGACATCAGTCATAGATATGTATTGGGAATTCCTTATTCTTCGTCTTCTTTGTATTTTTCTTAGATAATTCTTAGAAATATTGACCGAGTCACAACAATGTTTAACCAATTGCACTGCATTTGAGGGTATTTTGTGTCTGGCATAAGGATATGCACACATGGGTGGTATGTTATCGGCGATGTTACATTGTTTCGTAAATTGGCGGAAAATATTACTCACAGTTTTGTACACTGTCATGCAGATGGCTGAGACGACATGACATGTAGGGGTGTTTTTTTTATTTTTATTGTAGATTTATAGATGACAAATGGATTGGTAGTTTTCTTTTTTACAACTAAATCTAAAACGAGATATTGTAATCTGGCGGATTTTACAATGTTTCTAAATATATAGAGATGTATGCAGTTATGTAATAGTTTATTAAATGAATTTGGATAATAGACTTTGATTTTAATGTGGGATGAATTAAGTATTAAGGGGACCCCCCCATTCTCGGGGTCAAAATTTTTGTTGATATAATTCCAATCTACACTAATTCAAGAACGTCCCTGCAAAATTTCAAGTAAAAATCTAAAGAACTCTTGAAGATATAGCCGATTTATTGTGTCAGCATCAAGTGACGGCTGAAGGGCTTCTCAAACTTTAAACGCGTTTTTCTCTAAACATTTTTTTGCGAATGGCGGGCACGATAACTCAAAAACTAATAACCCAATCGATTTAAAATTTTTACACGTTTCTCTGTGAGTGTATAGCTATCGTATGAACTAGGATAAAGCCAATCGGTGAAGATCTTCCTTATTTTTTAACTTGGTTTTTGGTAAAAAATCGGCGATTTTCAAAAATATTTTTCCAAAGGTCCGCCATTTTGTTAATTTTAGATCGAAGTCAATAATCCTAGTTCATACGAGAGCCAGACATGTACTCTTTCTAACACCGTTGGAATTTTCGAATTCCGATGTT